AATTCTTCCTCGCGTCTCTCAGACATGTTTTCCTTCGTAGTGGTTAACTTGAGTTGAACTGCAGCACAATACTCAGCCAGCAGTCAAAAGGGAGAATGAAATTATTTAAAAAAAAAAAGACAGAGACACGACTCCACGCAGCCGCAATGAAAACAAGAGAGAGAGAGGGCCACCGACACACACGGCACGCGGCACCCACCTATACACAAACAACGAGGGCAAATTAGATCTCCCTAGGCAAACCGTGCAAATTGCACGGCACACACAACAACTGCGACGAGGTGTCTCTCTTCTTCTCGTATTGCACTTGACATTCGGATCCCCACAGCTCTGTGTGTGCGTAGTCACACGCAAATATCACCCACTCACAGTGAAATTGACTGCCTCGTCGCGGTGGCATTTTGCGCCGCAATTCGCTGAGGTGCGAAGGAGCAGAGCACCCGCCGCCTCTTCGTTCATCCGCAAGAAGAAGGAGAGACGCTGCCCTATTGTCCCCCACGACGCAAATACACGCTGCGCCCAGCACGTGGTGCGGTGCACGTGAATTCCGCGAGGGAACTGTTTGCCACACGACTGGGCCGCACGGGGCGCAGCCTGCGAAGGCAGCCTGCAGACGTCTCCGTTTCCTTCAGTCGTCGTGGCGGTGGAACCCGCAGTTTGTCAGACGCCGGCACATTTGCCCCCGACGCAGCCAACAAAAAAAAAGAGTGCGGCAGCATATTCTCCTCTGCAAGAGCAGAAGCGGCAGCCCCACTCTGCGGCCACCGCACCACCACCCAGTGAGCCCCACACAATCTTCTGCATTTCTTTCTTAGGTCGCACGCCCCCGCAAGGCTCTGCCACGGCAACGCATAAAAGTGGAGGCAAAAAACACCCCGCCACTGTCGCCACTAAACCACACACCCAAAAGAAAGGCCCAAAGATGGGGTAGGACAAAGTGTCCGCGCGGACGCACCCACAGCAGCAGCAAACTCAGACAAAAGAAGTCGCCCACCCCGTGCCGCGCCGTTGTAGTTGATGGCGAAGCGCTTCAAGACAACACTCCCACACGCTGCGCACTGCCTTCGCAAGGAAAGGGAGTGAGTCACAGCGCACACTATTCCTTTGTCGTTGTCTCGGCCTCTTCATAGCCACAGAAGGCATCCTCCACGTACACTGCAGTAAATATATGTCGCGTACGTGTGTGCCTGCAGATACAAAAATTGAAAGAGAGGAAAGGGGATCAAAGCGTGTGAGGACGCACATACACACACAGAAGATATGCAGGACGCAAAGATGGGAAAACTCGATGACTAAGACTCAAAATGGAACCGCAGCCCATGCAGTGGCAACACACATCAAATATGATTTACCAAAAAAAAAAAATTAGACTACCTAAATAACGTTTTAC